TATTTTATATTTTATTTATTATAAATATATATATATTTTTAAATATCTTATTAAATTATTCGATGTGTTTTTATTATATTATTATTTTATATTTTATTTATTATAAATATATATATATATATATTAAATATCTTATTAAATTATTCGATGTGTTTGTACTAATAAATGTATAATTTATGTTTTTGCTACTCTACATTTGTAATATCAGGCTGATATATATTAAATACTCCAAACAATAACAAAGAAAACCGTTGGTGAATTAGTTAAACTACTAGCCTGAAGTAGCCGTTGGTTAAGAACCGTTAACCGCTGAAACTCGAGCAGAGCGGAAAGAAGCAACAGAGTGACTCCGCCTCTTTTGTTTTAAATCGACGATCTTTGGCTGAGATGTCATTTTTGGCGCCGAATATTACAAGTGGTTTTGTCACCCTGCAGCGCGGGAGTTCTTCCCCCTGTTCCCCCATGTTGGACCTGCTTCTGCTTCTGCCATTTAACTACCAGTCTCAAAGTTACTCTTAAAGCGAAGGGAGAGTTTAGAAGACAACATGCAGCGCAGCATCGCGTAAGTACAAAGTTGGGGGAAGTAGCAGTGTGTTTTTTTTTAACGTGAGTTAGCTCGGTAGCGTTAGCTCTGAGGGACAACTGTGTTAATATTAACTTAACTTAACTTGTGTGTATTGTGAGTTGTGATTTAAGGAGCCAGCTGCAGTGTGAAACGTTTATTTGTGTGTAAAAACGTCTTTGTGGGCGCAGTTCTGTGTTTTAGCACGACATGGGAAGCTATTAAAACAGCTCTAATAAGATCCAGACAGAGGTACTGTAAGCTGCAGAAAGACTCTTATTGTTTAAGTTCAGTAACTTAGATAAGCTAAAAGCTGCACTCAGATCAGCTGTGTTGTCCCTGGTGTAAGGTTTAGTGCTTTATTGACTGTATATGAGCCCTGTTTGTGTTTCTGTCCTCTTCCAGATCCTTCTTTCAGCCCAAGAGCAACAAGGATGTTCAGAAGAAATCTGCAGATGAGCCGGTGAAAAAGTAAGATTTTCACTCACACAGGATGATGTTATAATACGATATTATCGTGTATTTAACCTGGTGAATGTCCATTGTTGTGTATACCTTCACATGGCTCGCCAGCATATTGATTTCCCTGTTTATTCTGATTTAAAGAAGAGCTGCAGTGTATTGATGAAGGTATATAATGAAGCACTGTAGAGATTCAGAGGTGACCTGGTCCACAAATCCTCATTTAATGTTGATGTATAAGAAGCAGCTTGAGATATGAGCGAGTTGTGCTCCTTAACTCTGTTTATAGATATTTTTTTTTCATCTTTTATTGAGATGTTACATTCGTCCTCTTTCCTACTTTGTGCTGCAACTTCTGCACAACAGATTTCCCTGAGGATAAATAAAGTTCCCTCTTATCTTATCTAAGATCTACAGAAGTGTTCCTGTCGGATGAGCCTCTGTAGGAGAGAATCGTGTTCATTTGCATTGAATTTGTTGCTGCTGGTGCTTAAAACTCAGATACAGATCTCCCTTCTTGACTTGAACTCATTGAATTTGTTGTTGTTCGTACTTTTTTTGATTTTTGAGGAATTGAGAAAAACTCTATTGATTGAATATGCAACTTAGTAAAACTGTCAGATAATTACATTTATGGATTTATAACGAATACCTACTTAAATGTACCTGCTTGGCCACTGTGTCTGGGAGGAATAGTAAACTCTGTGAGCTAATTTTGAAAGTCTTCTGAC